TGCGGGAGGGCAGGCAAAGCCAAGCATGATGCCATGTTCCCTGCGTGACGCTTGTGCACAAGCTGCTGCCCGCTCCCCACACGCTTTGCCTCGAGTGCCCTCCAGAGCTGCGAGGAGCCCAGCTTGGTTCCCACAGGGCTCCTGAGAGTCTCCTGCCCTGCAAACTGCAGCCCATTTGCCCGGAGATGCTGCATCCCATGGCCTCTCCACACACTTCGCCACAGTGCTGGCCTCCGAGAGCAGGGCACGCTTGGCCACAGACACCAGGGTCACCAGGCTCTGCGCGGCTCTGCCGCGCTGCCCCCACTGCAACCTCTCTCCCTTCCCAGGCGTGGAGGCCCCGGCCACGTCTCTGCAGGGCCCCCCGTGGACTGGAGCTGCTCGCAGCCGCGCTCACAGGAGAGCACCGGGTGCTGTGCAGCTTCCCAAGTCTTTATAGTCTGGCCAAGCCCCAGAGGCTCAAAAATTGCAAGATGAAGCTATGTGTTTAAGTATCTTTTGAGTCTCTTTCTTCTCTTTTGCAGCCGGGGGGCTGGAGTTCTTCGACTGCATTTGTGTTGCAAAGCTGCCCAACATGCAGTCCCCACAGAGCTCCAGGAGCTGCCAGGGCACCCAGCGCCACACCAGGCCGTGAATGAGCCCGTCCCTCGCTCCCCTGCACCAGGAGCCATCCCCAGCACCAAGCGAGCAAGAGCCCGGGCCGAGCTGACCTTTGTGCAGCTCCCACTGCCCTCCTTGAGCGGCCGATGGAGCCGCATGGCCATCCCCACTGCCACAGCCCCCGCATTGGTCTACTAGCCCGTCCTGCAAGATATGGGGCTGCTGGGGAGCCAGGGCAGTCCCACGGGGGCAGCGTGGCTGGGTCGGGGAAGGAGGTGCCTGCAAGAAGAGACCCGAGGAGGGATAAGGCAGTAAAGCTCCGTGCAGGGATGCAGCCTGGAAAGGTGACCTCCAGTGGGCAAAGGGAGGTGAGAGCACGCACTGCCCGTGCCCAAGCACACCCACTGCCCGTGCCCGGCGTGTCCCATGCATGCGGTGCCTTCGAACCTGTGTCCCCAGCCCTCAGCAGCAACCCCCAGCCCGGGTGTCCCCTGTGTGGGGTTCGCTCCCACTGAGGTACAGCAGGACAGAGCTGGACGGGGGGTCCGCGGGCCGCGCGCGCGCGGCGTCGGTCACAGCGAGCTTTGGCTGCCCAATGCGTCGGGGTGGGGGAGAAGAAGGGGAGCCGGGCCGGGACTTTTCATTAAAAGAGGACTCTTTGTACTCTTATAAAAACGACGAGCGAGCCCCGAGGCCACCAGATCAAATGCTGAACTGCGGCTCACCCCGGCCCGCTGGATCAGACGGGCCGGCACGATGGGGAGAGCCGAGGCCCGGAGGGCGGCTCGGCAGCCCC